GATGAACGCGAAACATTAAAAAAATACCCTCGTGATATAAATTTTTTTAAAAATAGGACAGTAAAGAATATTCGTTTAGTAACTTTGTGACCTGTGCTACTGATAAATTTAACAGTAGTATGTATACAGACGTTCATCGTCATAAAAAACATCAGATAGCAGAGAGATAGATTCGATGTCAGAGAAAGAAAATAATACAGAGTTGCGGAGATACATGAGAGACGTGAAGGGAACACAAAGAAATACAATATGAAGGCGGGAAGCAGACCACTACAGAAGATCTGTGCAAATGGTGCATCGAAGGTAAGGAGTACATTCGGTTACCGAACCATTCGTCATCTATCGTTACACTACCATTATTGTAGTGCCGTTTTTAGAACACTATTCATGAAGTGCGGTACAGATTTCATCCTGACCTCGATTATTCGTACCGTTTGGCCAACATGTTGACAGGTCATTAGGGTAACGATCAAGGTTTGGGGTTGAGACTACGGTTAGAATGTTTCATTTTTATTATTCGCCGTTTTCTAGTAAACAGTTGTCGACCGTCGTACTGGAGCCCCCATACCAATTCAATCGACGGCTTTTGAGGGAAGACAGAATAAGAGCGATAAATGGGTCACGAAAAGAACTGACCTTCAGTCACCTCAATAAGTACACGTAAGGCACTGGTCTAACATAGGAACTGATACTCCTCATTATAATTGGGAGATATTTTTAAGTCACGCCAGGGGAAAATACCCCGTTTGGTATGTTTTATCATCATCATTCTCTATAAACGTCATCTTTATGTGAAAACATACTGGTTTTTATGATTTTTCGCCTCAAGGTCACACTGCAAACTTGACTGATAAAATTCTGTCTGTACCAAACAAAGGACTAGACAAATCACATTTGTAACGTAACATCTAGTATTCAATCAAAGTATCTAATATAGTCCTGCAGGAGATGGTCAATCGCGAGCGTGATTAGCTCATTGTTATCGTCAATGTTACTTCCTAATATTCACAAATGTTCCAGTCATTTAGACTATTTACTTTGTATATAGGGAAGCTGATGACTTAACTATTCCAACGACAGAAGTAAGGAAACTGTTGACTTTCATGCACTAAAGAGAAATATGCAATTTCAATTCGATGGGTGTTCATTCTGTCAAATCGACAGTGTGGCGATGGGTAGCTGTTTGTAGATTCATTCTTGTCAGGCCTAGAAGTCGATACTTTGCAACAGCATACACAAATTCACTTTAAAGCTGTACAGTCAGTTATACACAGTATTCTCGAATGTCATGGAAAGGTCACTACATGTCATCTGTTAATATCGATTGGGTAAAAAAAATATGCTTAAAATTACACATGAAGAAAAATAATGAATGAATCACGTAATCAAAGAACGCTAAGTGAAGACACATACACTCCAAAAACAATCTCATTATATTGTGAATAGACTTAATTCGTAAGTGACGAGCTATTTAAGAGTTTCAACGAGCCGATTCAATGTCTTCAAGACATTGAGACTTGACAATCACTGGTTTAATATCACTTGTTAAGCTGGTGGGTACAGCCTGATAAAAAGTCTCGAAGTTGAAGTGAATCACATCCTGGTGCATTTCTGTTCTCAGTGGTTGTCAAACTGATGTCTGTTCATGATCAAATCAACTTTGAGAAGTATCTGTCTGTCTGTCTGTTTTCGACATAGAACTTTGCACAAATGTGCGGAAGTTCAAGTCGCCACACTCCGTGTAGCACGCGAAGCAAGAGAAGAAAGTACAAGAAAAGCATAATAGAGACAGTGAGCAGAGGTGTGAGACAAAGGAGTAATAAAGAAAAACAAAACAGTTTCATTGAAGATCATAAGTCACAAGGAGTGGATGCATCTGCGCTGGCCACTGAGAACGATTTTGAGCCATGTCACCAATTGTTTCCAACCATAGATTTTTACTGTCCCGAGGACCCCAGCCTGGAAGTCTACACCTTTCTACGTGGCTTAGACCAACTGTTGTGGATTTCATTGACTGATGCCAAGTTTTTGTTTGACCGCCGCTAGCTTTTTTCCAGCCTGACCCTATATCCGCTAACATTGCTCGTCGAGGGAGGCGATGGCTTGGCATACGTAACACATGTCCTAACCATCTCAGTCTTTGTAACTTCACGACTTCGTCGATTGATTTTCCCTGTTTACCTAGAACTCGACGCCTAACCTCAATGTTGCTCACCTTATTATGCCACTTTACACGGGAAATAGAACGCAGGCACCTATGATCAAAGACAGCTAGTCTTTTCATGTCTTCCACTCTCAGTGGCCAGGTCTCACAACCATAAAGGAGGACGGAGCGGACTGATGAGCAATACACCCGCCCTTTGGTCGATAGTCGAACATCTAGATAATGCTCGTAAATTTAATAAGTAAGGGTCAATCAGTGTGAGAAGATTTCGTCAACTTTGTTTTGCCATTGCTTAGATGTATTGAGTTAACATTAAACGTGTTTTCAGGTGTGAATTGATTGACTTCCAAAGGGTATCAGTGTTATGCATTTTGTTCTTTGTGTTGGTGCTAATTGTTGTACTCTGGTCCAGCCCAGAGTTTCGTTTGTTCTTCAACTTTGGTGCATATGTTCCCTACACTGTCTTCAGTTGGTTTCACTTCGGCTGATCTCTTCCCAGATAGTGACCTGGTTACCAAGATGTAATGTTCTGAAGTCTCTTTTATTCACGACCTGCTCTGCTTGAGTTCACAATGTGTCGTAGAATTATCTTTTGTTTTTCGTAGCAATCTTCCCTTTTCTGTCCGGTGTATTGAACACTGAACCCTGCACCTCCCCCTGTTATCCATCTTTGCGTTGGTTCTTCTTCTGCTTCACCATTCTTCCCTCCTCTGTTAGCTCCCATATATTCTTTGTCCTAATTCTCCTTTTTTACTTAAAACGAATATACAGGTTTCGTTGGACATCACTTTCAGAAAGTTCCAGTGCTCTTCCACTCAGGTTTCCCCCCTGATGCTACGAAGTATATCCGACTTTACGTAGATGGCTACAGTGAAGGTGTCTTTATGGTTTTGTTCTTCAGTCCTTAGGTGTTAAACTTGAGTTGTGGCCTATCTCTAGCTTCTTTGAAGTTCTTCAGCTTCGCCTTGAAGGTTCCTCCAAGGAGATAATGGTCTGAGTTGAAATCTGCTCATCGTCTTGATTTTGTTTCTGGAATAAAGCGAAACTGTTATTGTTATTATTGTTATTGTGTCCAGCACACTGCTACTCCACATCCTTGAGCAATATTGAGATGAAGTCTACCTGGTTTTGATATGTCCGTTAGGCAAAGCCCATGTCGCCTTGTGTATATCTTTGCGCCTGTGAACGCTACGTTCAAACACCAAATCCACTATGTTGTACTAGGTACTGTCCTATTTGACCTGTTCCACGATAAACCATAATTGCTCATCTCCTCCTCCAATACACACGATCTCCTCCATATCACCCTCGCACCAACGACCCACTCGTTACGTCCAATCGGGCGATGGCCAGCATTCTGCGTGATGTCATCCGACGACATCCTCAATATACGCCTAATCCATCTCCATTTCCTACTGCATATTTGTCGAGTAATCGGCTATTGATTGGTTTGATCCACTGCAGAGTTTCTTGTTGCTAGTTCCTTCTTTCTGCCCCGCCGGCCATTTGATCTTCAGTATGGAGCCAGCCAGTGAAGGTGGCAGCTGTTGATTAAAGTCTGCAGTGACTCGTTATAAATCCTTTTCGTGACACCTTGGTCAAGTTTCTCACTCACATAGAAGAACTAACTGACTTCACATTTGTGTGGAAAATCCGAATGTTGTTATTTATACTGGCTGAGTGAAGCAGAAGATTTCCAAATTGGTTTCATGTTGATGAAAGTGTATCTTGCCTTTTTTTATTCTGACTGACTGGCTTTGACATTTTCAACCGTGTTGTCCGACTGGCTGTGGTTGAAACTGTGCTTTCTGGTCAGATAAGTGAAGGAGGAGAGCGACGTCTGTCAAATCTCTCCCTTTGATGGTGATTGGTGCAGGTTGTTGTTGCTGTTGTTTGTTTGGTTGGTTGGTTGGTTATCTTCATGACCTCCGTCTTCATCTTCTCTATGTTCACTTGGAGTCCTGTCTCTACTGCCTGCCGGCCTGCCTCGCCTCTTCACCCAGTTGGTTGGTTTTCGCCCGCCTGCCTGCCTGAAAGTCGTCGAGTTTGTGTGACATTAAACATACATCATCCACACTCGAAATCCAGATCTCCTAGATGGAGTCTTCTTATCGGTCAGTCCAACGTATTCCTGTCTCCTCACTCCCAACAAAGTCTTCTGCGTAATCCAGTCAGTCCACTACAATTTAGAAGATGATCGGTGATAATAGAAAGGCAGCCATCCATTTCTTACTCATAAATTCACTCCACACCTCACTGAGTGAGTTTTCCGTTGTGGATCACCTGACACGTGGCATTGTCATATAGCCAGCCGATGAATGAGGTTGATGAAGACTTAGTCATTGCACGCCGTAGTCTTGAAGCAGTTTCCAAATTACTTCTAGGTGAAGGTTGCCTGTGGAAGGCCTTTTCGAAGTCGATGAAGTTAAGGTATAGGTGTGACTGCCATGCTATTTTAGTCTGTGTTCGATGATGACGCGTAGAGTTGCAATTCAATCGGCACATGATTTGTCTTTCCTGAATCCAGCTTGTTCTGGGGGAGGGGGTAGAAATCTGCATCCAATGCATCTTTTATTCTCTCTAGGAAGATGTGTATGGTACTGCTTAACCATATTCCAATTAAAGCATTTTGAAATTTAACATTGCCGTATGCACTCCTCTACTTCTAAATTTAAAAAAAAATAACCTGTGCACCTATTCTTCAGGTGATAAACTAATGCTCAAGATGAATAAAATTTGCAACTGAGAGAAACTGGCTACTGTTGCTGCTACTGCTGCTACGACTGACCAATCATTGAATCGTTAAAGAAAATTACATTTAACAACAAGTACTTACTTGTCCACGAATAGGTGAAGGTATACCTTCCCAAAAATATTGTCTTATTTTTTTCGGTGGATAACCTGTTCTCCAATTCGGTAGGATATTTTGACGCCATATTTTTAATAAATCTTGTTGTCTATCTTCTTTGTGTGATAAATTATCATTACTAAGTGTACGTAATATTTTCTCATTTACTTCTTCTTGTGTTTAAGCAAAAAACAAAAAAAGAAGATAAAAACAAAACAAGAAATTAAATCATGGTGATGTATCCATATAATATGTATGTTTGTTTGACAGTCTGTTATATTTGCTATGTATATATGGATCGATATTCTATTATAATTAGCCAATCATGTTAAGACTGTCTATTGATTTGTTCATTATGAATATTCGCTCACACACCTGTTCGGACATACACACTAAATTGCTCTCACTTGCGTGACATATTGATTCTCCTTGTGTTTGGAAAATAGAAGTATCATCACAAACCTAGTGGTCTTCTGATTTCCGTCTTTCTTGCGTCAGGACTATTAAATTCTCAACCAGTACATAATAGTACCACAGTGGAGGATAAAAAAAGCTTTAAATTTAGAATATATATATATATACATACATATAAAATGCACTGCGAAACCAGTAGGAACATGAATATTTCTGAGTTTTACAGGCGTAAAGAAGATGTTATTCTCTTGGGTTCCGAATGGAATATAGAGCTTGTAAAACTCATCTCCATGTAATCACTAATATCCCCTATTGTAGCAGATATCTTTATGGACAGCTGGGAAAATAGTTATCTTTATACATTTTTATTTCCCACTCCAAAAATATGGTGGAGATATGTAGATGACACGTTCAACAGCCACTTGACACACATAAACTCACTAGTAGAGGGAGAAAAATTCACATTTCAATCGGAAAATGAATGAAGAAGGCGAATTAGCTATGCTGGATTGCAAAATCAAACGAACGAAAGAAGGTAAACTGCACACTAGAGTTTATAAAAAGTCAAAACATTCTAATAGATATTTAGACTTTAATTCGTCTCACCCGTTAACTGTCTGTAAAGGCTGGCTTAGTTAAGTGTCTAACAAACCGACCAGTAGCACTAAATAGTACAAAAAAGACCTAAATGATGAAATGAAACAGATAGAAGAAGAATCTTTGGTGTCAAATAACTGTCCTATAAAATTCATTAGGAAGATCAGTAAAGGACAAAAACAAAATAAAAACATTGATGAAACTAGAAATGTTAACATAAATAAGAGAGAATATAAAACATCTACAGTTATAGCATATAAGGAGGGGACATCTGCGACCCTACGTAAGATTCTTAATAAAGCAAGAATTAGGGTGACTTTCAAACATAAAAACTCACTCAGAGACAAGCTCTGTAGGTTAAAGGACCCTGTAGGTTGACCCAATTAAACAAAATAGTATAATTCACAAAATAGATTGCAATAACTGTGAGTTAAGTCAACTATATAGGTCAAACTAGTAGATCGGGGGTAGTCAGATTATCAGAACATAAGAATTTAGCTAATGGAAGAGTGGTTGACCCCGAGAAGATAAGTCATTTAGAAAAAAGCTCAGCACTACATTGCACTTCACGCATCAACACATAACCACACAGTAGCATGGTGGGAGAAGGTTAAGATTTTAAAAAGTAATATAGGTAGGTGGAGAGAGAGGTTGATTACGGAATCCTTGTTCACCGAGTCTACACCCAACATATGCAACAGAAATGACTCAATGCAAATGCCAGAAATATACATGGAAGATATTATTACCACCAATCAGTCAAATCAGAGGAGGATAATAAATAATCTCAAAATTTCATTTCAATTCAAGCACATCATGACATTCTAACAAGTTACTTATTAGGACTATAAAAAAAACACTCGTCTTATTTCCCATCTGATTGTAATTGATCAATAACATTCGTATTATTATTTCTGAATGTACATTATCATATATTGATTTTTATTCAAATGTCTAATCATCAATTCCACACATGTATATAAATGAAGGAAAAAGTTGTGTGAGTAACTTGATATGATTATGAGCAATAATTTGTGCTCGAAAGCTAGTCATCAGTTAATATTACTGTATGACACCGTTGTGTGACTTATCAAAATAAAATCTTGTCTATAATGGAGTCATCTCCACTTCGGCTTATTTTCTGCCATCCTCTTCAGCTAACTCCATGATTTCCCCCTAAGCCTTAATCTCCTCCATATCACCTTCGGAGCAGAATCCAACTCGTCGTTCATCACTTGGAGTTCACTCGAGCCATGGTCTATCGCACAATGTCATTCGACGATGTCTTTTTCAGTGACGTGTGTCTGATCCATCTTTGCATTTTCTTGATTGGTTCGTTTCCAGCCAGAGTTTCTTGTTGTTAATCCTTTTCCGACTGACTATCTGATCTTTGGTATGGAGCTAATGAAGGCAGCTGTTGAAACTTGTTCTAGTGAAACACCCAGTTTCTGACGTGTATAATGTTGTCTCAGACATATAAACAATAAGAGTTTATGAACTCATTAACCGACTCCCTCCTTTTTGGCATATCATACTGTACCAAGCCTCTATGATCTTAATTTGGTAGTTTTATCACCATTGCATTGTACGTGCATTCCACGTCCCTTTTCTTATTCTTGCTTTCATCGAAAGAAGACATACAGGCCGATTGACTGGTTTTCCGAAGGTGGGCTTTCACTAGCCCGCTGTGTCATTTCGCCTCTCCAATTTCAGCGAAGTTTGTTTTTAAAATATTTTATATTTTTATTATTTTTCTTATGCGTTGAAGTTTCTGTTGCAGTTTGATTGGTTCTGTGGTGTCGGGTTGCTAGCCTCACGCCTAAGTCTCCCTATTTACCTAGTCTTGGGACCGGCTAGAAAACTGACGAGCTAGTAGGTTAGGCTCAAAAACATGTGGCAGAAAATAGAAATGGATCGGGCATACACGCCATCGAGGAGACCGTCGAATAGTATTGAACACGGTGCAGGCCATCGCTCAGGTGGAAGCCCAATGCGAAACGACGAGTGGGGTGTCGATACGAGGGTAACATAGGGGCGTTCGTTTGGCGAGGATGAGACGAGAGATTATGGTTAATCGTGGAGCCACCTAAACAGGACGGTAGAAAATAGAAAAAAGTGGAGATATAGTGTTAAAGCTCTATGTTCTACCTGGAAAAGCACAAGAACAACATGGATTTAACCTGATGGACACACCACAAACCAGACACACTTCACGTTAATGCTGCTCAAGAAAGTGGAGACGAAGCCAGTTTGTTGGACACAATGTCGAGAAGGGGAGCAGATGTGGGTCCAAACCATCATCTAGTGCAGGGGACCTTCAAGGTGAAGCTGGAATCATTCGAAACAACTCGACACAGGCAACAATTCAAGTTCAGCATTCAGAAATTGAAGTATAAAACTGCAAGGGATGCCTTCACTACAGGTATGAGAGAGAAGTCGGATACACTACGTGGTATCATTGAGGAAACCTGTGGGGAAGAACATTGGAACTTATTCTCTGAAGGTGAAGGTGCAAGGAAAGACAAGACAAGGAGTGGCTATCAGTAGATACCTGGAAGCTTATCGAGGAGAGGATGATGATGAAATATAAGATTCACTGCAAAGATGTACAACAAGAGAAGGAAAAGCTGAGTTCAATGTGCACTGCACTGAACAAAGAAGTGAAGAAGAGTGCTAAGAAAGACAAAAGACAATCCTACGACAAACTGGCTGTTAGCTGAAGCAGAACAGGCAGGCAAGCCACAAGTAAAAGAGACCTCAGAATACTACATCAGATAACCAGGTCAATCTGTATCCGGGAAGAGATCAACCGGGATGATGAAGGAGATAAAAGATGTTAAAGGGAACCTGATTACCAAGGACGAGAAATAAACAAAACAATGGGCTGATCGCTTTAAAGGACTGTTGAATCGAACATCTTCACCTAAAGGTACCTACCGACTGCAAGAAAGCCTATCTTGTCAAGCTTCCAAAGAAGGGCGACTTAGGCCTGTGCTAGAACTGACGCGGAATTATGCTCTTATTCACGCCAAGTAAAATACTATGTCGCATCATTCTGGAGACAATGAAAGATGCACTAAAGGCAGAACTCCACCCCTCCTTCAAAATAAGTTGGATTCAGCAAAGACAAATCATGTGCCGATTGAATTGAAACTCTACGCATCACCGTTGAACACTGACTAGAATAGCATGGCAGTCACACCTATACCTTAACTTCATCGACTTCGAAAAGGCCTTCCACAGGCAGCCTTCACCTAGAAGTAATTTGGAAACTGCTTCAAGACTACGGCGTGCAATGACTAAGTCTTCATCAACCTCATTCATCGGCTGGCTATATGACAATGCCACGTGTCAGGTGATCCACAACGGAAAACTCACTCAGTGAGGCGTGAAGTGAATTCATGAGTAAGACATGGATGGCTGCCTGTCTATTATCACCGATCATCTTCTTAATTGTAGTGGACTGACTGGATTACGCAGAAGACTTTGTTGGGAGTGAGGAGACAGGAATACGTTGGACTGACCGATAAGAAGACTCCATCTAGGAGATCTGGATTTCGAGTGTGGATGATGTATGTTTAATGTCACACAAACTCGACGACTTTCAGGCAGGCAGGCAGGCGAAAACCAACCAACTGGGTGAAGAGGCGAGGCAGGCCGGCAGGCAGTAGAGACAGGACTCCAAGTGAACATAGAGAAGATGAAGACGGAGGTCATGAAGATAACCAACACCAATAGCGACAGCAACCAGCACCATCACTTATCTGGTCAGGAAGCACGGTTTCAAACACACGGACATTAAGGGAAGATTAGGTGTGGGGCTAGGGACGACATCCTGGAAAGTGAATACAATCGGTATAGAAAATTCAAAGCACGGACAAATATAAAAAAGTAAATTCACTCTTCGGTAGTAATGACGGGATAAAATGAGTCGGGCTGGTGAAAGCCTTTAAGAAGCCAGGCAGCATAAATATCATCATTCGATAAAAGAAAGAAAACATAAGAACGGGGATATGAAGTGTCTGTACTGTGTTTGAAGTTGGAAAGACTGCTATGATTGCGAAACAAATGAAAATGTATAGCATAGAAGTGCTGGGAATCTGTGAGAGCATATGAAATAGAAGTGGACTCTTGAAAGTGTTAACTGAAGAATCAATAATCTTCTCCGGTGATCCAGACGACAACCATGATATCACCAACAGCATCATAAGATTTTATACAGTGGAGACCAATCCCCTCCATGAGAATGACTGTAAGATTCAGCTCAAAAGTTAGGAAAGTTACAGTCATTTAGCGCTACATCCCTACAAACAACGCAGTTCCGACGGAAAGAGGGAAAACTTCCACAGACAACTGCAAACAGTAATGGTTGGTATGAATGCCACGCTAGGAGGCGTCAACACATGAAGACAAATTATTATGGGTACCGAGGTTCTTGGCGAAATGAATGAGAACGGAGAAGTTTTCGTAGAATTCTATGCCATCAGTGATTTGGTGATTGAACTTAGTGAGTACAGGTGACATGGATTTCGCCTAATGGATAAATCAAAACCAGACAGACTTCATCTCAATATCGCTCAAGGAGGTGGAGTAGCAGTGTGCTGGACACAAACGAACTTGGTGAAGAGGCAGGTAGGCAGGCAGGCAGTGAAGACAGGACTCCAGGTGAACATAGAGAAGATGAAGATGGAGGTCATGAAGATAACCAACCAACAACAACAACGATAACAACAGTACCCAGGATTAAATCACCATCAACGGGAGAGATTTGACAGAGGTCACTCTCCTACCTCAACTATCTGGTCAGGAAGTACTTTTTCAAACACAAGCGGTAGGAACGGATGAAAATGTGAAAGCCAGTCAGCCAACCAGAATGTGAAAGGCAAGATACGCCTTCATCAACCTGAAACCAGTTTGGAAGTCATCTGCACTCCACCTGAACATGAAGAACAACATTCGAATTCTGTTCAACACAAATGTCAAGTCAGTCCTTCTACACGGGTCAGAAACTTGTTCAGAGAGTCACCAAAAGCATTTCCAACAGGCTACTGAACAATTTTGTCAACAGCTGCTTTCGCCATCTCCATAGCGAAGATCAGATTGCCGGTCAGAAAGAATTAGAAACAAGAAACTCTGGGAATGAGACAATCAAGGACCCACTACTCTACAAATATTACGAAGAAAATGATGATGCAAAGGGCACACGTGGAGGAGGTCGTCGTATGAAATCACGCGACAGTCTGTCACTCTAGTGGAACCCAAAATGTGAAACGACAAGTTGAGCATTTGTCCAAGGGTGATATCGAGGAGACCGTGTGACAATGTGAAGTGATGAAAGACTATGGGTGATCATCAGTGGACTAGTTTTAACGAGCACTGCAGAGAATAGGGCGAAATGGAGGCAGATGTGCATTTGAAGTCCTTTGTACCACTCGATACCCAAGGGATAATAATACATGGTGACCAATCAAAGTACTGATTATAGTCCTACAGGAGGTCAACTATGAGGATGAATAGTTCAGTGGTAACCTTTAACGGTTACACTAATTGACGCGGTTTCTAATCTTAATTTATTATTATTATTGTATCCTTTAGTTCCTAGAGGAACATAGGGCTTCAGCTGCGCACCTCCATTGACTTCGTTTTCTGACAACTTTTTCACCCTGCTCCAGGTCTGTCCACATGCTTTCATCTCCTCCTCGCATGACCTCCTCCAAGTCACCCTTGCACTGACGACCAACTCGCCGCCTCCCTTTCGGGTTCCACTCGACCAATGGCTTGTCTAGTGATGTCACTTGATGGTTTCCTCAGCGTATGGTCAATCCATCTCCATTTCTTCCTGCCTATTTGTTTCACAATCGGTTCCTGATGGGTTGGTTCGCTCATTGACAGAGATCCCTGTTACTGATCTTTTCTGGCCATCTGATCTTGAGTATTGAGCGGAGACAGTTGTTAATGAAGGTTTGAAGTTTGTTTGAGATGCTCTTTATGACTCGCCAAGTCTCTGATCCGTATAGTAGCACTGACTTCACATTGGAGTTGAAAATCCGGATCTTATTTTTGATGCTGATTGCTGTTGACCTCCACACAGATTTGAGAGTAATGAAAGCTTGTCTTGCTTTTCCGATTCTGGCTTTGATGTCCTCGTCAGTTCCGCCTGTAGTTGAGACGATGCTTCCCAGGTAGGTGAAGGAGGTTGTTTCTTTCAGGTTCTTCCCATTTATGCTTATTGTGGTCTGTTGGTGTTGTTGATGTTGGCTAGGAATCTTCATTATCTCTGTTTTATCTATGTTCACGTGAAGTCCTATCTTTGATGCTTCTTCTGCCAACTTGTTACTTTTCACTTGCATATCTTCCAGTTTATGGGAAATCAGACATATATCATCGGCGAAATCCAGATCCTCCAAGTCTTTTGTGTCAGTCCATTTTATGCCTGTTCCCTCGTTGGTTGCCGTTGTCTGTCGCATTATCCAATCAATTGCAATCAGGAAGATCATTGGTGATAGTAGACAGCCTTGCCTCACTCCCGTCCTCACTTCGAAGGCTTAAGGCAGACATGAATTCCTCCAAGATGGCAGATAAGCCTTGCCAATGACTACCAATAAGCACAAAACCTAGGTTGAAAGCTTCTTGTCTTGTTTTTTAACTCCAAAGAAGCTGAATATTCTCTGTGGTTCTTCACCTACAATACCCTAAGGGTGAAAGATACTCTTTAGATTTAAAAATAAATAAAAATAAACCCACAAAGAATTAAAGTAGATAAACTAAACAGCATTTTAAACAATTATAGTTTGTCTTAATTATGCGTAGGATAAAAAAATTTAACAGAAGAAAACAATACTCACTTCTCTCACGAATAAACAAATTCAGTCGACTATAATCAAGATTATATTTCTTCATCTCAATTTGAGATTCCTCTGGAAGACAACTGTAGTATAATATCAAATAACAAAAACAACAAAAAGTACTTCGTTTCAGATTATGCATCTTGATAAAGTGAAATTATTTAGTGTGCAGATGGGGGGTCTTGTTATCAATTAAAACTGACGAAGTTAACCTATCACAGTCAAGATCACTGTGACCTTGAACAACCAATCAGAATTCAGATGCTAAAAAGTAGCATAAACCTTAGAAATATATTAATGATAATCTGTATAGAAATCATACCATGCGCGACAGATGTATTCATCCGGGGCAACTTACTGTGCTTTGAGATCCAACCATACTCCTGACCCTGAAACTTTCCCCTAACCTCCAGTCCTAACTTTAACCCTGACAGTACCCAGCAGTACAGATTTATAGAAAAAGTATCTAGGAATAAGTCGAATACTATACCTATCCTTACTAAATCCGTGAACAGAAGCATTATATGATTTGACCTTTCTTAGCTTTCTGTAAATCTAATTGGTTCCTGAAGATCAACTTTCGACAACTGGTTACAGGATTTCATCATGGGCTTATAACGGTTAGAGGACCATTGGAAAACCTTGAAGTACTGGACAGGTGTTTCCTACGTCCTAATTCGGGACTATAAAGTAGTACCCGCACACCGGGGCTCAAAATCAGAACGTTCCGGTCACAAGCCGAGCTCGTAGACCAAACAGCCACTGGAATCCGACCCAATAGCCAGTGCATGAATTTTAACTTCTACCAATTCATGATATGAATACTGCGACCGCCAGTCACTGTAATAGGCGAGTAACCTTGTAACAACAGAAGACAAGGGCCAGGCAACAGATCGCTTATTAAGGAAATCAACACATATTTATAGATTTTCATGTGTACATATTATAGATTATTGTAACCAGAAAAACACTGTCCTCTGATTGGTTGTTTCTCACTGAAAGTTAACCCTGCATTTCTTTGTGGCTGTTTCTTGAATGTCAGATCATCTATATGTTAACTGTATCCGCTTACGCAAAGCTTTTGTTCCCATTTTTCTCACGACCAGTATTGGGGATATAAACATTGACGTAAAATACTGTCCACCAATTTTGGCTAAAAGCCAGCTCTCACCACAACCTTCTCTTGTCTGACACGGAGCACTATATAGAGATCTCGAATTAGCAAAAGGTGGAATACATAGGCTGACCATTTGATCGAGTCCACTTGACTGGATGTCTATAAGCTCGCTTTGCAAGCGGGAAGTCTTGGATTTGAACCCCAGGTGGTGGGCAGGTACTTCCGATGAATAGTCCCAAACTAAGACAAAATAGCTATCGAGTACTCGCAGCTGACATCAGTTCGTGGTTAAACTTCAAGCAAATCAAAACTATACACACAAACTCTTGAAAAATAATATATCAGGTTAACGACCAAGGATGCTATAAAGCTGAGCTACAGAGAGATTGGTGACGAGTGAATGAATAATATCTCTATTAAAAATTTCTATAGATATTATTCAAATGTTATTTTACGATTAGTGTGTCTAATTAGTCAGGATGTCATGTCTTATGAACGGCAAGTTTACTCTAACTAATAGAAGTACCATATGAGTACCTCAACTCAATTTAATTCATCCTTGTTCTACAAACAGTGAGTCAAATTATAGAATAATTACATCTTTTTTGTATGAATCTACCCACTTGATGATTTCTGCCGCCAAATGTAAGATGATGCTGCAGGACTGAACTACACTGACTCACTCCTAGCTTAGAAATAGGAAGTGAAGTGGTTGGTGGAGAGTGTTGACCACCTCACTTATTTGGGAAGTTGCAGCAGCTCCAACGCCAGTGGGTTGATCGCTGGCGAAATCTCAGAACGGATACAGAAGGCTCGTTTCGTATATGCCAGTTCACTCCGCCTCTGGCGTAGACGTGATATCCGGCTAGCTATCGACTAAAGGGTGTGTGTACTGCTCAGAAGTCCTCTCCATCCCTTTTATAGCTGTGAGACCTGGCCATTGAGAGTGGAAGATATGAAAAGACCGGATAGCTGTCTTTGATCATTGGTGACTGCGTTCTGTCTCTCGTGTTAGGTGGTATAGTAAGGGTGAACAATATTGAGGTTAAACGTCGAGTGTTTGATTAGGAGGGGAAATCAATGGACGAGGTTTTGAAGCAGCTGCATCGATTGAGATGGTTAAGACATGTGTTACGCTTTCCTAACCATCGGCTTCCTTGATGGGCAAATGTTAGCTGACATAGGATGAATCACGTTGGAAAACAGCTGTTAGCGGTCAAACCAAAAGATGGCTTCATCAGTCAGTGAAATCCACAACAATTAGTCTGAGTCACGTAGGAAAGTGTAGACTTCCTTGCTGGGGTCCTCGGGATGGGAAAAACCAATGACTGGAGATCATTGATGATATGCCTCAAGGTGATCGTTCTCAATGGCTGGCGCAGATGCATCCACTCCTTGTGACTTATAATATTCAATAAAACTATATTGTTCTTCGTTATTACTATTCTTTTTGCCTCATATTTCTAATTGTTATCTCCGTTTTGAATCTCTTTTTACTTTCTTCTCTTGCTTTGTGTGCTACATGAAGAGAGTGTGGCAATTCGAACCGCTGCACATCCGTGCAAAGTTCTATGTTGAAGCTAGTCAATCAGTCAGACATATAAGCGAACATTACTGTCGTTTTCAGTTAGATCTTCAGGCTTTACTCTAATTTACATTGATTTATATACTAAAAATTTTAACCAATGATGATGATTTTTTGGATCAAATAATAATAAGAAGAATATTAATGTGGTAAATATTTTGAACGTCATTAATAACGATGATTATAATGATAACAAAATATTGATAATAAGGTTTATGCAGGTGGCGATAAGAATAATGAAGGCAGTAAAATGTGTATTTGTAGACAATTCAATAAATAAATGATTAGATCAAATCTTAAAAATTACGTAACATTAAAGGTGAAGTAGACAGATAATCAGAGTTTAAATAAATATCATTAGAACAGCACGAAGGGAATGGAAAACAAGGAAGGGTGGGAGGGTTTTGATTAGAATTTACCCAGGGAAGCAAGGGAAAGACTAACGTAGAACAAACTTCTTTTGTCGTCTGTCAAGACTAGGACTGTTTTCTCGAATTAATTCCCCTAGCTTCGGCTATGTGTAAAAGACGGATTTGAATTCCGTTCGAAAGGTTCAATGGAATGCGACAGATAACTTTGAAGACACTTCTTCTTCTATCCACTTGGCGACAGCTATCATCAATCAAATAAGTCAAAATAGAACTTCTTAGAGATTTTATTTGGCCTTTTCCGAACCATGCAGGAAGATGCTCATTATTACATTTGTTAAGCTGTCTAGTTATTGACCCTGTATAGCTTTCTCCTCAGGAGCAACTAAATAGTATCGACTGATTAACAGCTTCGACTAGTCTTATTCACAGAAAGTTACTTCAATTTTGTGAGTAATGACATATCGCCATCTTGCTGAATAATTTGTTGTCAAGTGGAATACTACCAGAGTAGTTCTGTAATAAAGTTGTGACGATATGACTATTGGGAAAAAAATTTATTTCGATCAAACCCTGTCAGCTAAAATGAGTAAAACTCGCGGGGAGGGGGAGTCAAAGGATTATGGATTTGAATCCCACTCCAACGACAGGTAGTATCACTATTATTTATTTATTTATTTAAACGCAGAAAAAACTTGGTACAATATGGCACCAAGAAACATGCTCCACACAATAATAGTAAAACAACATAGATCAAAAGTAAAAAAAAATATATAAGTAGAGAACGGATAAAGAACTTCATCTGGAAGGAAAACACTCATACTTAACAAGTTCAAACAGTATTCGTCAACTATCATTAGGAAGGGAAGAAAGAAGAAAATTGCCATTGCACGTTCGCCATTGATTACAATTCTCCGCCATATCCGATAACGTTTCGAGCCATCGATTCGAGCTATCTCTCGGACCCAAACCAGGGAGTCGTGACATACCAACCGATGCTAATCTAGCACAAACATCCTTCATCCCACGACGCCACGTCATGGACTGACTACCCCTCCGCTCTTTCCATCCCGTCCCAGGGCTGGCCAGTGAACAGAGACCTGTACGGAAGCCTCCTCCGGATGACACTCGCAGCACATGTCCAAGCCACCGGAGCCGGTGTTTCCAGATGATGACACTCAATGAGTGGTGATCTCCATTGTGTTCAAACACACGCCACTGAACCTCAGAATTACTCACGCGATGATGCATCCATCGAACGCAAGCAATCATGTGGAGACAGCAATGATTGAACACGCAGAGTCGCCGCAAATCCTCAGCTCACTCGGAGAGGCCAGGTTTCACAGGCGTAGAGCAAGACAGCCTGCACCGAAGCCTTGTATACCCGACCTGTGACAGCCAGGCTAACGTCGCGACGGCGCCAGAGCTGGCTGAAGTTGGTGTATGCCACCCTAGCCTTCATTATGTGATTGGAAATCTCATCCTTAGTATCACTAAATCTCACACAATAGGTGTGGTACATTACCAACTGTGACTGGCTAACTGACTGATTTCCACATATATCTTTGTACAGAACCACAGCAGTTCGTGTTGCCACACTGCTTCCATGTAGCACACAAAGCAAGAAAAAAAGAATAAAGAGGCATTCAAAAGACACAGATAATAAACAGAAATATGAGGGAAAAAGAATAGGGACCTGAAAAAAACACTAGGGCTTTATTGGATAATGACAGATCACAAATAATGAATGCACATGCGCCAGCCATCATCAAGAACGACGATTTTGAGCCATATCACCAACTGTCTCCAGTTGTCATTGGTTCTTAAGATCCTGAGGACCCCAACCAGTCAGGAAGCCTTCATCTCCCAACGTGGCTGCCTCGCTGGCTGAAACTAACTGTTTGAGACTTCATGAACCGGTCAACTGTATAAAAATGCAAATGTTTGTTCAGTTTTTTGAATTCAATAAAATAACACATTGAAAAATGAAAATGTTTTAAACATTATATAAATCAATATATTCACTATATTTCGAAGGGTATGACAACTTAAAAGTTTTCAAAGAAAAAAACAGAAGCAAGAGGATAATAAGGGTATATGGAAAATGCATAAAAAAATCTTACTTCGATCTTTCTCGTAGAATGAAATAGCTTATAGCATCAGGATGGTATACATAACGCTTCTCCTCTTTACGTACCATTGAAGTTAAATCGATCGGAGATGAAGCAGTGCGTGCAGCTTTCAGCAGGAGTTTACTAAATAAAATTTTTTTTAAACAATTAGGAAGATTAGGACAACATTACCCAGACGAAACATATATTAGATAGAGGATTTCATCATGAGCTGACATCAGTTAGAGAACTATTGGAAAACCACCAGCTGGGAGTACTGGACAGCCAGCTGTTTCCCCCATCCTAGTTTGGGACTCTTCATCAGTACGCACCACCCACCAAGAGAGGAGTTCGAACCCAAGATCTTCTGGTTACAAGGCGAGCGAGCTAGCCCGTAGACCATTCACCCGCTGAGACCCAATCCAATGGCCAGCTCATGAATTCTAACTTCTGCCAATTCATGATATAGCGCGACTGCTTCGCAGTGTCTTCTTCGACGAGTTACTGCCTCACCTCTAACCTGCTGTACCCTACTGGTCACAGCTTCCCACCGAAACCCCATTAGGTACAGCAGGCTGAAGGCGAGGAAGTAACTCATCTAAGAAGACATTGCGAAGTAGTCGCGCTATGTCGTGAACTGGCAGGAGTTAGAATTCCTGGACTGGCCACTGGATCGGGTCCCAGTGGGTGAATGGGCTACGAGCTCGCTCGTTTTGTAACCAGAAGGTCCTGGGTTCGAACTTCTCCCCTGGTGGGTGCGTACTGATGAAGAGCCCCAAACTAGGACTGGGGAAACAGAAGTCTATCCACTCCCTGTTGGTTTACCGATGATTCTCTAACTGATGTCAGCTCATGATGAAATCCTCCAACCAATCAAACAAAATCCCTACAAAAACCAATACTTGAAAACCAGATATTAGTTCATACCATAAATGAAGAAAGCGTCAAACAACACCTACATTCCCTAAGCCGACTGATCTCAATTATCTCATTAAAGATGCCAATTAGAAATTTAAAAAACTGATTCATTTTTCACTCATATTCTTTTCAATAACGCCTTCCTCTACATCAGATCCCACATTTATATGACAATAATAATTAAAGGAATATTCCTATTAACAACATTATTGTCGTTTTAAATTACATTCAATCAATAGTATCGACCGCTGATTACATTTCAAAAGCGTCAGTAAGACAGGAAGAAATATAATGCATTAATATAACACTAAACTGATTGAATATCAGAGGAATTAAGGAAAGTGACACACAGAATTTATGAATGTATAAGTTCCTCAGCAGGCTAAGGTAGCAGTATTGGCTGACTGGACCTGTTTCTTTTGCACATAGACCTTCAGTTGATTTGGGCGAATTGTAATGTAATTGGAGAGTTCGATACGCAATAGATGACTGAGGAAGATTCTTCAATGCTTTTAGTTTTGTGGTCGATCAGTGTCTGTAAGTATGGTATGTGCTTTGCGCCGTCTAAGTGCAAAGTATTGTTACAAGATTGGCAGGAGGCCTGTACCTGCACTCACTCTTGCAGGTGAACCGCTTGAATTTATTGATAAGTTTGTGTATCTGGGTAGTTGTGTGAGTTCTGGCGGAGGGGTGACGGATTTCTAAACGTATCATGAAGGCTAGGGTGGCATACACAACTTGAGCCAGCTCTGGCGCCGTCTCGACGTTAGCCTGACTGTCACAGGTCGGGTATACAAGGCTTCGGTGCAGGCTGTCTTGCTCTACGCCTGTGAAACCTGGCCTCTCCGAGTGAGCTGAGGATGTGCGGCGACTGTTCATGTCCGATCATCGCTGTCTCCACATGATTTCTTGCGTTCGATGGATGGCATCATCGCGTGAGTAATTCTGAGGTTCGGTGGCCTGTGTTTGAACACAATGGAGATCACCACTCATTGAGTGTCATCATCTGGAAACACCGGCTCCGGTGGCTTGGACATGTGCTGCGAATGTCATCCCGGAGGAGGCTTCCGTACAGGTCTCTGTTCGCTGGCCAGCCCTGGGACGGGATGGAAAGAGCGGATGGGTGGTCAGTCCATGACGTGGCGTCGTGGGATGAAGGATGTTTGTGCTAGATTAGCATCGGTCGGTATGTCACGACTCCCTGGTTTGGGTCCGCGAGATAGCTCGAATCGATGGCTCGAAACGTTATCGGATATGGCCAAGAATTGTAATCAATGGCGAACGTGCAATGGCAATTTCCTTCTTTCTTCCCTTCCTAATGATAGTTGACGAATACTGTTTGAACTTGTTAAGTATGAGTGTTTTCCTTCCAGATGAAGTTCTTTATCCGTTCTCTACTTATATATATATTTTTTACTTTTGATCTATGTTGTTTTACTATTATTGTGTGGAGCATCTTTCTTGGTGCCATATTGTACCAAGTTTTTTCTGCTTTTAAATAAATAAATAATAATTGGTTTTTTGGCCTGTTTGGACGACGTAGTCCAACTAAAGAACTGTTAATAATTTTAACAATATCTGTATTTAACCACGCCGGTAAGTGTTTCTGAGTGAGCACGAAATATTAAGTTCCTAAAACAACGGTTAAAATAACTAGCTCCACAGAATCAGTTGAATTAACAGATACAATTAGAGGTGGCCAGCTAGCATAGGAACTTCATCTTTCAGTTTCAGAATGACAACCAGTTGTGTGTGTGTGTGTGTGTGTGTGTGTGTGGAAAATACGATTTACAGTTTACCGGCACCAAACATTCTTTGAATCGATTTTGCTTAACTTGTTGGTTATTAACTCACTTGGATGTATATCACCTTTGAATTGCAGTAGTATATACAGAGGCTTCTTGTTGACAAGTAGAGAAGAAATCTAACCTAGTTTCTTGACCATGTGTTTAATGATGAACTTCTCAAGGTACCTGTTTTCATTCAAGGTGTCGTATAGTTGGCATTGGATGGTTAGAGGCAGTCGGCCACAGGAAACCCTGCTTGGACCTAGGTTTCGTGCTAGTTGGTACTCACCAGTCAGCAAGGCGTATCTGTAACTCCCTTGAAGGAACTCATTTCCCTTCTGAGATTCGAACCCACGTCACCCAGTGAGTACTGCAGTCAGAGATGTTACCACTGAGCTATTTAGGCTCGCAATTGACCTCCTGTGGGACTGTATTGGATATTTTTTCTGAAATTCGAATCTCAGAAGGGACATGAGTCCCTTCAAGGTTGCAGATGCGCCTTGCTGATGATTGACAACTAGTACGAAACCTTGGTCCAAGGCTTCCTGTGGCCGATTGCCTCCAACCACCTAATATCATCAGATCAATGTGTACCGTAATGGCGAGCCACCTAGTGGCATTGTGGCCACATTGCAAACCTGACTGATAGAATTCAGTCTGCAGTGAAGATAGGACTAGACACATTACGCACTAGTTACTGACTAGTGTGCAATCACAAAAAGGTGTCGTATACATCTTTAAGTCCGTCTACAATCGCATCTTTTGAACAAATAGCTCTACTACTGTAGCTGAAAGGCCTTTACCAAATTTCTTTTATACCGAAGAGGAATAGATCTATGAAAATGTATAAAATCGATCGGTACAAGTACTTTTCTTATGCACATTCCATTTTATGCTACCGTCTGTTAATAACACTGCTTCTCTAATTATTACTGTCATATAAATGTAGAACTGGATGACAATGAAAAAAACTTTTTGTTGTTTAATACATTACAAAACTGGATGCTTTGGTGTTACACCCGAAGAAGCATGACATTGAAATCTCCAGTTGTCTGTTACTTCGAATCATCTAACAACCAAGATATGTGTAGGAAATCAATTATGAATACGCTAAGCTTTAAGGAATACAACACCGGAAATCGACAGCTTACCTTGATTACTAAGCATTCTTGAGTTAAAAACCCAGAACAACTAAAATTTTCACCACCGGTGATTATATATATCTATTGTTTCCTTTAATTCCTAGAGGAACATAGTGCTTAAGCCGCACGTCTCCGTTGAGTATGGTTTTCTAACAACGTTTTCAGCTAGCTCCACGTATGCCCACATGCTTTCATCTCCTCTTCACGTCACCTCCTCCATGTCATCCTGTCACCGACGACCAACTCTCCGCTTCCCATACGGCCTCATTCCACTCGAGCGATGGCCTGGCGTGTGATGTCACTCACTTGATGGTTTGTTTTCTCAGAGTATGGAGGCCAATCCATCTCCATTTCTTCCTGTATGCATATTTGTTGCACAATTGGTTCCTGCTAGGTTGGTTCGCTCCCAGAGATCCTTCCCTGTCGCTGACCTTTTCTGGCCGGCCATCTGATCTTGAGTAGTATTGAGCGAAGACAGCTCTGTTGATCAAGGTTTGTAGTTTGTTCGAAGTGCTCTTCATGACGCATCAAACCTCTCATCCGCATAGTAGCACTGACTTCACATTGGAGTTGAAAGTCCGGATCCTATTTTCATTTTCGTGCCGAGTGCTGTTGATCTCCATATTAACTTGAGAGTAATGAAAGCTAGCCTTGCTTTTCCAATCCTCGCTTCGATATTTCCATCAGTTCTGTCCACCTGTAGTTAAAAACGACGCTTCCCAGGTAGGTAGGTAGGTAGGTAGGTAGATGGGCAAAGGAGGTTGCTTCTTTCAGACTGCTCCCATTTATGCTGGCTGACTGTTATCTGTTGTTGTTGCTGTTGCTGTTAGCCAGGAATCTTCATCACCTCTGTTTTCTCTTTGTTCACCTAAAGGCCTATCTTCTGTGGATGCTTCTTCTTCCAACTTGTTGCTTTTCACTTGCATATCTTCCAGTTGGTGGGAAATCAGACACATGTTATCATCGGCGAAGTCCAGGTCCTCCAAGTTTTTTGTGTTGGTCCACTTTATGCATGTCTCCTAGTTGCTCGGTCAGCTGTCTGTCACATTATCCAGTCGACCGCAATCAGGAAAGTCATTGGAGATAGTAGGCAGCCAGCCAGCCAGCCAACCTTGTCTTACTCCTGACTTCACTTCGAAGGATTCCGTAAGTTTCCCAGTGTAGATTACTTGGAATGCAGCATTATCATACAACTGTTGGATGAGGTGCATAATTGTTGGCGGCACCCCATCATAGTGAAATAGTTTCCAAACCACCTCTCGATCGACGCTGCGCTATTGAAAGCCTTTTCAAAGTCGATGAAGTTGAGGTAGAGAGCCAGAGACTAACTGCCGTTCCAAGCTTTGTTCAATGATGATCCGTAGTGTTGCAGTTTGATCGATGCATGACTTGTTTCTCCTGAATCTAGCCTGTTCAGGTTGAAGGTTTTTATCCAGGGCGGCGTGTTTGCTTCTCTCCAGAATGATTCAGCTTATTATTTTCCTTGGGATGAACAGGAGCATAAAGCCGCGCCAGTTCTTACATTGACTTAAGTTTCCTTTCTTTGACAGTTTGAATAAGTAGCCTTTCTTCCATATACATATATATATGATCCCAATGAGTATATTTCTCTTCACTAGATTGTCTGTTCTCCTGAATAACAGGATATATTTTAAAGTCTTTTGTGCTTTTCTTTACACGTGAAGGTTACTATTGGATGTAAGTCGTTCATACTGATTAACGATGACAAATGTATCCTCAACAGAACGAAAACTGGCTGATAGAATTCAGTCTGCATTAAACAAAGGACTAGACACATCACAATGAAAGTATCCAATACGGTCCTACAGGAGGTCAATCGCGATCCCGAATAGTGCAGTGGCTGGTAACGTCTATGACTGCACCACACTGGGTGACGCGGGTTCGAATCTCAGAAGGGGAATGAGTTCTTCCAAGGTTTCAGGTATGCCTTTCTGATTGGTGAGTGCCAACTAGCACGAAACCTAGGTGGAAGGCTTCCTGTGGCCGACTGCCTCCAAACATCTAACATGAACGAAAATATGTATTCTGATGTAGTAATGTTGACTAAAATTCAGCTCAATGGAGAACCAAAAGTATACATGTCTTGGAAGTAAAATGTGCATTCACAGTGCATCTACAAAATAATTCCTTGAAAATAAGTAATACTGTGGCGTGTGCTACTGATAGAACTTATCAGTAGTCTGTGTATAAAGAGATGTTCATCGGAATAAAAATCATCAAATAGCAGGAAGATAGATTTGACATCAGAGAAATAAAATCGTACAGAGTTGCAGAGATATATGGGAGACGTGAAAGGAACACAAAGAAACACAATATGAAGGGCAGAAATAGCCCAACACAAAGGATCTGTGCAAATGGTGATTTCAAGATAAGGCTACATAATTTCTCAACACATAGAGATACTGAATTGTAAATGAACATCCAAATCTCCCATCTCCTACCGTTACACTGTGGTGAGAGCAGGCTGCTAGTCAAATTGGTAGACATTAATTTACGTCTCAAATATTGGTCGTGAGAAAATATGAATAAAGACTGATTCAACAACCAACCACAGCAGACTTTGCGTAGGCGGATACAGTTAACATATAGATGATCTGTTGCCTAGCCCTTGTCTTCTGTTGTTACAACACTACTAACAATCGGAAAATCAATATTCTTTTTAAATATCCGCTGACATGTATTTTAATACGACCGTGACTTGTATTTTGATGAATAATGATAAGATGTACGGCAACATGAATCTTTTATACTGCCCATTCACGACTGTTTAGTGAAAGCAGTCTTAGACTTGACCTTGACCTTAGACCTTGAATTCTTCATGAATGAAATGGGACAGGTTTAAAACTGGACGAATAAGAAGTTATGATTTGTGGATAACCCTTACCAATGGACAACTCTGCAATACAATTTCTCCAATGAAGGTACTGGGTTTGAACCCCACTGGCTGTGGGTGCGTACTGGTGAAGGGTTCCAAACTAGGGCGGGGGAAAAAGATGGCTAACCAGTACTCCCTGTTGGTATTCCAATAGTTCTCCAACCAATACCAACTCATGATTAAATCTAATCAAACATCTTTGGAAATATTCGTTTTGTTATTGAGAAAATGTACTACATATGTGCGATTGTACAGTTTGAGAATGACATCACCGAAAAGAGTAACTCTTCACTGAACGCCTTTTTTCAATAATTTTGAGTTTATCGTTTGACTGAAGGACGAAGACGGAATTTACCGATACACAAGAAAATTAGCGCTTTAGAATTCATAGATTAAAAGCAACTGAAGATGGTTAAATAACTAATTCACTTAAACTGTTATACAAAAAACTTCCTAACTTCTGACTTTTATGACATACCAAAGTGTTTAAGAGATTGACAACATGGTCGACTTTCCACAAATTCAAATAAAACTTGGGCTAGTCTAGATCTTCCGGTATCTTTCAGTTATTGCAGACATTATATACTATGTAGCATGGAATTCATCAGTTGTCACTCAGACACTTTAGTTCCGACGAACGCAACACTCCACTTACTATAATGGACCATAACCGTATATGCCTACGCGGAAAGAGGACGAAGATAGATGGTCTAGGTTTAAAGCCTCGAGACTTTTCAATCCGTTAACCCTTTTCTTGACCTGGATCAAAGTTAACGAAATAAGATAGAATCGAACAAGTTGAGACACTAAATGATCTAAGATACAGGTTAATTAGTCTACAATTAGTACATCTCATGTTTTTTTTAATTCCTTTACCTTCCCAGTGGAACATAGGGTGGCTTCAAGCTAAAGGCTTGAAGTCTTGGTAGCAGTAGTGTTTATTTTTACCGGGATGCGGTTGGCTAGCTTTATGCCCAACCCTCCCTCTTTACCAGTCTTATTACTGGCTTGGCGAGGTAAAGGATGAGTGCGTCGCCAGCCGGGAATCGAACCCCGAACCACATGGGCATGGTTGGCGGGCGGCCTACCTCTGTGCCACCACCGAAGCACAGTATATCTCATAGGAAGCTCAAGGAATGAAATTAAGAATTTGGCTTACTTTAGTAAAGATGAACCATTTTTACTTAGGTCCAATGAACTCCAGAAAGAATTTTCACCACAGTCTACTTGTGTCCCCATCACATTCACTATTTAGCAAATACTGTTAAGATTCTCTACAATTAGAAGAATAAGAAGTGCAAAAGAATAAATCATAAGAATGGTACATCATTACACGTTGTGTTTTTTTTGTGTGTGCAATAAGGACTTTTAGAAAATATTCAAAACAATGGTTAATGAACAAAGGATATTCTATACGATAACCTGATCTTCATCAGCCTCCAAAGCCTCAGGATGGTCGGGGTGGGTACCTTGCGCTGCGGGTTGGCCACCCCTCCGTACACCTCTTGAAATGCTCCCATATGACCGGGCGTCTTACATAGCCTCTCCTGAGGAAGTCCTACTCACTGCCTTCACGTGGCGGAGGTGTTTTTCACCGAAGTGAGAGGGCAAAAGCGGATGCCCGGCGCTCTTCACCGGGTTGACTGTCCATTGGATGACAGTTTAGAGGAGATGGCTAAACCCTGATTCCAAACCTCCAAAGACTGGCGTATGAAGCTCACCGGAGCTCACCGGCAGACGTATGGACAAAGGGCTTATTGGATGCCCTGGATGTCTGGCCCCATTCAAAAAGGCGTATGAACCGGACTCCGGTCACCGGCTGCCAATGGATAGTGGACTCCCTACTCCACTCCTACTGCATTGTAGGTCACACTTGGTTGTGTAAAGGCTAGAGCTGCACTCTCAAGCAAAAGGCCGAGCGATGATGGGGACATCACTCGTACCTAATTCCCATCAAACTTCATGAACTCTCTACAACATCAACCAAATTCCAGTACTGGTTCAACAACGTCGCCTTCGGTGGTTTGGCCATGTTCTGAGCCGACCAGATGACGATTTGGTCAAATCAGTTCTAAATCCCTCGCCATTTCCATCTTGGCGATGTCGCAGGGGTGGACAGCTGAAAACATGGCTTGGTACAGTCAAGGCTGATATGGAGTGCCTGGGGCTACAAACCGTCTACGGACTCCGTCTGTGGAACAAGAATTGGATAACCCTGTCGCAAAACCTTGCATCAGATCGCCGCACCTGGGCAGCGATGATTCGAGATGTTCATGAAGCCGGCTCATCCTCCCGTAGGAGATAGCCGAAGTAAAGAAAGAAGAAGATCTTCATCAGGTTCTACAGGTATACATACATAACAGTGAGTGAATTAGTGTTAGTGTGAATAACATCGAATCAATAATAATATCAATGGATTACAGTTCAACAGCATCAACATAACAATAAACTGAATGCTGGCAAACTAACTACGCGTCTCATTTTCCACACAACTGATGGTGATTACTCGATTGAAAGATGAAATACCTAGACTAGACTAGCCACTTCCAATTGTATCTACTAATTTGTCAGCACTTGTGGTGGAGCGAGTTATGTTGGCCGTTGCTCTAGGAACTTGATTTTTAGTGCTTTCTCGAGAACATCTCCCAGTATGGCTAAGTGAAGGTGTAGTAAAAACCATCAATTGTTCAATATTAGACCATCTGGTCCAAAGCGGCCACAAAGCCAGCATTGAAGAATCCTTCTCCAACAAATAAATTAACAAAAACATTGATGGTTACCCTTACTTCAACAAGACTTCAGTCAGTTGGTGCGGAAACTGAGATTATTGACAGGCCTCTGAGAGAAACACGAACCCTACTTATTTTATAAAAGATTTATTTAGCCGCAAAGCACGTATACGACCGTTCCCTGGGATTCTATCGAGTAACGAGTTTTCTGTTCCAGTGTTCAGTGCTATTCGTACACCAGCAGGTTTAGAAAAACTATTTGGAGATTCTCCTGACATGCACAGGGTAACTTAATTAGATTCGCTGAGCTTGTCAGCCATGTTAAGGTGGAGTAACCACACAAGAGTTTGGTATGAATATCTCTGAGATACAAGGTCATTCCGAAGTCCAAAGTGTTAGTTTTACCCAGTGAGATGTGTCGCCTGTTATACGGTTAGGTTGTTGAAAGCCCTAATAGGAAGTTCACAACAGGATTTTAAGAGGCCACAAATAGTGTTTCTCTGGCTCAGGTCGTTATCAGTCCCAGATTTAGGAGAAGGTGAAGAACCGGTCTGGGAAGTGGTGGAAGAGAGTAAGATAACTGGTAATGGATAGAAAACCTTTATAAGTGGACTGTTGCTACTCCCAGACCGCCCCCAACTGCCTGAGGCTGGTCACATACTACCTGTCGAGAAGCGGAGTTTTTAAGTTGCATTTTTACAAAGACCCTGTAGCTGGCTATGAACCACCGTGGGGTAAATTATAATTTACAATTTCCTGGGCCAACATTTCTCAACCCCTGTTTGCTAGAACAGGAGGGAAGAATAAATGACTTGTAGGTCATCCAACACCTTTCTACTTTCACACCACCTATTTTCCAGCTGTGCGACTTCGTCCTCAAACCCAAACACACTATAAACATCTAACACCGTGACGGCAACCGCCTTTGGTTGACCCAATAGCCATAACACCGACAACCTTCAGGAACACTCTACCCAGATAGTATGTTTTGTCAGGTCTTTGAGATATGTTAAACCTGACCACTACACACCAATATATAAAATATCGATCGGGCAACTGTAGTGTAACCATACAAAAGAAAAACTTAAAAAATCAACCAGTTTTTTTAACAAGTCATAACTAGATTTTGTATATGCGAATTAGTCACTGAGTTGTGAAATCATATCCCGTTAGTACAGGCCAGGAACCTTTAAGAAGCAGTTTAAGTGTTTTTGAGCTGTTTCACCTGGAGAGATTTGGGCTGCTTTTTAACACAGCACACGTGGCTCACTGTCAGGTGCATTATGGGGTATACAGTCACGAAAACACTGTTTTTCGGATAAATAAATCCATTATTAAAACAGAACATAAAGTGAGAATACTCCAAGACAAATTAGAAAAATAGAACAAATGTGCAGATGTGCTGCTTTGGTTACGACGAAAATTAAGCATCAATGCATGTTTACCAATGAGTTCAATTCCGAACTCACTATCTAGTATTACGAACTACATTCCCTAGTGGTCCCTTGAACTATATGAGACGATTTTTCCTTCCCTAAATGGCTCGGATCATTCGTTAGTAATCTTCCAGGTTGGTAAAATACCTGTCTGAACAACGTTTTTTTGTTTTTTAATCTTACCTTACATTCGCTAACAAAACGCATCAAAGTAGATGATAAGCAGTGTGTGATATGGCCAAAAGTTTCTAATCTCCCTAACTGACTCACCTAAGACTAGAAGTCTAACTTTTATACTGATTACGTGATGATTTCTCCAAGCACATACAATACTGAGAAAACGATCAAAATCAAATGTTGGCAGTCTTCACAGATAACCCACATTCAAGTAGACTGCACCAATAAAATGTATTGTTCCTAAGTATTTTTGACTATCAGTGAGTAGTTTTATGTATTTCTTCTATCTCTTAAACGGTGCAACCTGGAGGAAGCTAAAGCTTTTGGCACTCATTTAGAAATTCTGTTACCTGGTGACCGCGAATGATATGGACTCCAAGGTCATCATGATGATAAATGAAGCCAATCATTCTGCTTCTCATAATTAAGTGGAATAAGAGTTTCAACCACTCCTGAACTAAAAACAGGTATATAGCCCCTTCTAATGCCCCGTTATAACAAAAAGTGACGAGACAATAGTTTCTCCTCTATTAAAATGTCTTAGTGACCAAGCATCTATAGAACCCATCAAGTAAATTCTATTCACCGACCAAACACGCTTCAGTGGAAAGTACTTACAAAAGTGATGAAGCAAATAATTAAGTCCGATGCCTTTCACCATATTCATGGATATGAAGGGGGTTACTAGAAAAATTTCAGAACGCTCATTACAAACAAATGCTGCACTCGGGCTTCAGGATCCAGTAGCAACAAATAAAATATGATAAGACACATGAACACAACCTTTAGAGTTTTTCTTCTGCTTTGTCGATTAAAATTCAAGTGATGAAACGCTTATGAAGTGTTAAGACAATTTATTAGCTACTGCTTGAACATCCTGGTAACATTCGAGGCCACAGAATACTTAAAGTAGAAATTTAATAAACATTTCATTACAATTTACACTTAAAAGTAATCTCAATTATTCTGCATCGCACGGTGTATATCCAGACATTCAAATTATTACTATTACACTTTCCTTTTTTATTGTTACACATGAATGGTTTGTTTGTTCCACTTCCATCACCTTTACAACTGTTTCAGTTTTGTCTTATTTGGATATTCATCAGTGTTTGAAACTCTGGAGTGTTTTACCATTCTGAATCATTAGATAGTTGCTTTCAAAAATTTATACTCCACTGAGATATCTAACACTAATATCACTACGTACTTAGTTTGTATTTAACACATACAAGGTCTGCATAATGGTTTATAGACCTTCATATAAATCGAATTATTGATAAACTAGACAGTTTTCCGTCTCAGGCAGCAGATGTATAGAGAGAGATGTTGACATGTGTCACATTCTATTTTTGTTCCACCACCACCAACACTCAGACCAGTGCATCGGTAGTACAGCGGTTAGGACTCCCGCCGACCATGCAAATGTTCCGGGGTTAGATCCCCTGCCGACGCACACCTATTATCTATAGTCGGCCTGCGAAATTTGGGCTATCTATATCACATGCTGAAAATTTCATACTTGTACCAAAATACGATGTGGAATCAAGCTGTAATCAAAATAAGAAATAAATAAAATAAAACTCATGAAAGTGCCAACCGGGACCATTTGGGGCAGAACACTGCCTGAAGGATGAAGTTTCCAGAACGAAGTGTACCCACCGGGCAGCCAAGCGTAAGGTGTATAATTTCACCATCGTAGTGAGTGTATTCACATAATTGTCCATATCTCACAAAAGACATAGACATATTGCCTAGTATGCTAGATGTTTGGCTAAAGATGCCTGTTAATCACCCCTACAGTTAAACTCCTCAATACAGAATTGATTTCTTATGTGCTGGAGTGGAAAATTTAGGATAATGAAAAGGAAATCGGACACCATTCCAACTCCTCAGCATACAGAGGTATAGGAATTTAAGTCAGGAACAACGGTTGAAAATTCAGTGCTAAAATAGACGCCCAAAAATTTACACTAAAGAAGTTGCTGTCCTTTAGTTCCGTGTGAAAACGTAAGACTTATTTCAGTACAATAATGAAGTTCGACCGAAATCTACTTAGGATAAGTTACACAAAACCTGTCACAAGGTAGACCTAATGTACAAAAACTTATAGTACAACTGGCTTACACAATCTTCGTAGCTTGTATAGTGTTTAACAGTATGCAGTATGATTAAAATGTGTCATCTAGTGCAGCTACGTTTAACATTATCAAGAATAATTAACAACCAAATGGAATAACTAGTAGTCTTGAAGTGTTATAAGACAGAATAAAACATAATTAGCAGAAATACACTACCAGTCGCTAACAATATAAGTGGATGTATGAAGTAAATTTAAATGAACCTCAAAAAGTATATCACAAAAAATTCTGCAACCATCTATTCTAGAACAATGATCAAGTAGGCAGTCATAAATACCGTGAAACTACTAGTAAGAATAACCATTTTGTGCTATCTTGTAGAAACTTTATGGTGTTTGACGAATATATCGACAGGTTTATAGATGATGATACATAAGTAGCATATCCTAAACCAAAGTAAACATTTTAGGGGGATTCAAACTGCAACAAATTCACGGCCTTTTGTTAACATTTTGGAAAACCTTTGTCAGAATGAAAAAAATTAGAAGTTTCCCCAAGAGTCACCACAATATCTCCAAGTTTCAGAAAAATAATGCCACGATTTCTCCAAAATTTTTGCCGGTGCCACGGAATCGCCCTATAATTTCCCGAAAATATAGTTAACTGGATTCAAAATTAATTGAAAACAACATGTGTCATAAAAAGTATTCTAAATTCGTTACCTACTTGAAAAATATACAGGCATTGTTACTTCAGTCATTTGCAAATTAGAAAAAGTTGTGTGCAACATTTTTTGGAATAACCTACTTTTTCGGGAATTATTTATTTAAGACGAAATAATGAACTCTAAGAAAGTTTACGCAAGTAGAATTCCAAAACAATGAAAGAAAAAACACAATCTCACGGAAAAACCTAAAAAACAATGTGACCCACATCAACTGTCTTAAACTGACGCCCCAAAGTTTCGACCTCAAGTTGACTCAGCTAAACAAGAAGTACTTTATTAGACATTATATCGTCAATCCAAGGATTTTAATAGAAAGTGTATATTAAAAGGTTTTTTGTTCCTGAAATCTATATTATAAGGTCATCACTTGATTTCCGGTCAGGTTGGCCGCTTTCAAGCCATACCAGCAGTGTATCACAAAATGTAAAGTTACCTATATTTTTAGCGGGAATTTTCAGTCCGCGTTCAAACGCTGAGGCTGCCTAGTACTTTCATGAGGTTGGCACTACGTGTAATAAAAGAAAATGTGAGAAAATTGATGATAATAATACAATGTCCAAAATCTCTGATATTTCTCAGCAATCGCTCTGAATGCTACAAGGGAGATAACGTTAATTTGTTTAAAAGAGAAGGTAACTTCTGGTTGGAAACTGCCTTTGCTGGAGCTTGTGGACTTAGTTTCGCCGAGCGTTGATCCGGTTTGGTAGACAAACATACTAGGAGGTGATTGCATATGGGATGAACGGGAATTTAGGAAGCTACTGAACTGAAAAAAATGAGGCACTGTATGACGCTGTCGTGACTGATGATGTCACTTTCAATGTTTCAATCCGGTGATAGTTTTTATAGCCCTCCTTTTACTCTTCCTGAAAGATCTGGATCACAGAGACCTAATACGAGGAAATAAGTGGAAGAACAAAAGAAAGAAGGAAAAAACCTTGAAGGCGTCAGGAAATATTTCCGCAAAAGTTAGTGGAATAGTTAATCCATTTAGTCTCTTGATGGGAAAGATTATTAAAAGAACAGGATGTAGTTAATAAACCTCGAATTCATTGGGTCTCAAATCGTCAAGCGCTACGTGATCATCGACCATCTGGCTACAGCTCCTAACAGAAAACATCCTTGGCCACGGTCCGACGCTTGAAGAAGTAGATCACACAAAATTCACCTATGTTTGTAAGTGATTCCCGGGGGTTACTGCGACGGAACTCATGATGGCACAGCAAAAGATTCATATTGCTTCATTTTTCGGGGCTGCTCAGAGGCTTCCGAGTGATAACAGATGTGCAGCTAAACTCTTTTGATAAAAAATAACTTCCGTGGGTAAGAAATCGTGTTTTCTAAGTTGAATCCTTTCCACCCATTATCATACCGTAGATCTCCTAGTATCTTCATCAAGCTTCTCTTTCGGGTGGTTTTCCAGGGATCCTCTGACAGTTGCTTAAGATGACTTATTTTGCTATACAGCGCATCCTTCCAGGTTTCCATGGTACATCTTTGCTTGTTTATTAGGTAAAATTATATTATTAATAAAACGCCATAACAGGTTTTGAACCTCTGAATTCTTTATCACATAGATTTCCCTGGATTTAACCAAATAAGAAGCTCTTAGAAGTTTCTATTTCTTGAACGCCACTCAATTGCGCAGAAGCCTCAAAGTCCTGCCCGAAGATCCATATGTCTCCATGAAAAACTGCAGGGCATAGGCTTTCCATTTATCGGTAGGCAGCGACACCAAATGTAACAACAGAAGACAAGGTCCAGGCAACAGATCATCTATATGTTAACTGTATCCGCCTACGCAACGAGTGCTGCTGTTGGTTATTGAATCAGTCTTTGTTCATATTTTCTCACGACCAATGCTTGGGACATAAACATTGACGTAAATTAATGTCTACCAATTTGACTAGCGGCCTACTCTCATCGCAGTACTACTACAGGTAACCTGAAATACAAGGTTTTAACGGTAATAGTTTGGCTACTTACTAACACTGCAGACCTAAAATTCTACAGGAAAGTGGTGCATATACTTTCCGTATACAAATATTTTTGTGTAAACACAAATTTCAAATACGCCCACTGATGCGCGTATGATGTAATTTGCGCTTCTACGCATGATTATATGATTATTGAACACTTTCATTTAAGAACAGGAAAAGAACTTCGGTATCGCACCTCACCATGCAAATGCAATTCATGGTTTGCAAAAGAGTAATTCTTCAACTTCAGGCATATCTGGTTGGGAAACAAGATGTATGTATGGTGACGACCAGTTCAGTCCCGTGATAGATGTAAGCATTTTAAAAATGTAATTCATCTGATCTCCACATTCTGTCCACTTGAAAATTCAGACAGTATGAAGTAAGTGTTAAATCTGATGACGAGCTTTCAAATGCTGAAAATCATACTTTACAACATACCCTACATTATTAATCGGGTTAAACGATTTTGTCACCCATTTTTAACTGTTGCAAAATATTGTTTGCTCGGAATCACAGGCTTATTAGATACCTACATTCTGTCCAGTCCTTATGTGCTCTTTTACTGGACGCCGGACAGCCACATAAACGGAGTTTTGTAGTGCCATCATTTAATAAATCTCTTGAGAAGAAATTTTTCAGAGTCTTCAATGTTTTGAATTCAACATAACTCCATTTGGAGTGATTTGGTGTTTTATTTTGGCTGTTTCACTGTAATCTGCCTGTTCGTGCCTTACGTGTAACATTTTAGAAGTAGCAATGCCGCTGCTTTAAGGTCGTGGCGGCAAACACTACACCGCTCACTACGCACCTCCCGTCCTCTTTTATATGTGCGACGACGTACTATCAATTTTAGGTGCCGTCCATAGCACTTGCGTAGAAAGTTATAGTGAACATGAGTTTCAGTAAGACATGGGGATCTTAGCTGTGGATATTAATAAAAATCCCGGAGAGGAATCTGAGAAATCGAACTTGGGTCAATCCTCACTCAAAAGACATACCGAACTGTGGTCTTTCAGACTGTCGAGACTGACTGGTAAATTTTCATCAGTTTCAGTTTTCATAATTACACTGCATCCATTTTATTTGGTTAATAGACTGAATGGGAATTTGTCGACCGGTTTCATTACTACCGTTTATTTGCACTTATTATGTACGCCAACCTTAAGTATGTACCGTACAGACAACCGTACATTAATTGTGAATGTATATTTCACATTATTTGGGGCGTCATCACATTTATGATGACTGCAAACTTCAATAAACTCATATTTAATTGATTGTGAAAAAACTGTTGTCACTATTTGCTTGATTAAGAAATATTCGGATGGTTTAAGAGTTAAATGTAGGACCTTACAGTGGTAAAACTAATATCAGAGACCTATGCATCTGCCTATCACATGGTAAACCATTCATCCTTGCGTATGATCTAAAAATAGCCTATACATCCCAGTGTGATGTCTCAGTCTATTTCCAGAATTTTGTGCCGAATGAATTAGTCAGAATGACTTCCTAGTCATCTTTGTGGAATCCACAATTCATTCTGAACAAATGAGGCTGGTTCTGCTTCGGCGCACCCTCAATTAACGTACAATTAACGCTTCAATCTGCTAACCTACCCAGACTCAAAAGCGTCATTGACTTAGGCCTGACGTACTCTAGTGATCAAACATTCTTTGGAAAAGTGGCATCGCAGACTCGAAACATAAAGATGCTCATAGTATGCATATTCAGGAACTTTCACGTCAATGAAGCTATGATCATCTATATGAAACATGCACGAAAGCCAATAGTAGAATACTGTCCACTTATTATTAGCAGCACTTGATTATGTGACAGGCTAAGGATGAAAGTATTCAAGGATATTTCACATCCAATCTACTTGGCTCCGACTGTAAGAAAGACTATGTCTCACGGCGCATGAATCTAATTCTTGACCCACTTCGGACGAGACGAATTATTATAAACCTAGTATTCTTCTTTAAAGTCCTGCACAAAATATCATCCTCAGACAATAAGGACATACAATTCTCACAGGAAGGCTGTTACGATAGACGTAACCAAACTTGCACAGGGACAATAAAAGCCTACAAATCAAAACTGGTTTAAAGTCTCTTGACAGTCTAATATATAGAACAGTTTACCCTAGAAGTGGGAACCTCAACCTGCGTTAAAAGTTTCACATGCTCTCGGTACAGACCGTTTGATCGTAATCATTACATTGACAAACTATCTATTTCTAGAACGAATCAGTTTCTAGAACACTATAGTATCTAAAGAACGCATTGGACCTCCCTAACTACTCTATTAACGATAAAAAGTTTAGTCGCATAGTTGTATATAAAGAAAAAGAGACTAGGAGTTCATAGGTTTACTAGACGGAAATGTTCAGAGGATATAAACATATCTAAAAAACTAACGAAATTATTCTAAGAGCGGGATTTTGAATCCCACTGAGTCATTCGATGGTAATTTTATGCTTCTGCCTGATAAATTCATTGTTTTGTATGGATTAATTTTCAGCCATTCTGGTTACTGTCCGAAATGAATTAAAAATCCACTTGTCGCTGGTTGTGGTGATTTATAAACACTTGTTTACATATTTAACCCGGCACTAATTTTTGTGGGGAACCATTTGCAGTTTGTATTGCTGAAAACGGTGTTGTCAGTAAGCCAATTGCTCTGTGGCCTGCTGATACCTATGCTATCCAAATTTTTTTATCATCAATATTGCATCTGACCACTCGGATCTGTTTTGTTTTAATATTTCGATTGTGTACCCAAACGTATTAACTAATCTCGCAATCTCGGATACCGTCCCTTTAGTCACAACACAGCCTAAGAGAAAGACGTCATGGTTGAAGAGAGGCACGCAACGTATTCTGCAAGCAAAGCGGAGGGCTTGGTTTACGTGGCGTGTATCTAAGAGTCAGACCAACCACGATGCATACCTCGAACTCAGGAACCGGTGTAATGCAAGAGTTAGGAGGGACAGAAGGTCATTGTCAATGGAGTTGAAGATTGAACGATCAATTCTTGGTTGTTTGCTCAAACCAACTTCCCCAATTTTCGCGGAGGCATCAATACGACAGTCATCGTCTCATCGGTCGCTGTTCAGAAAGAAGATTGAAACATCGTCAGAAGTAATACAGAGATTTATTATTGTAATATTTGTTTTCAGACCTTAGTTTGCTTAGTTCGCTTATTCCTTTTATAT